TTTTAATAAATTAATTTAAGAGTCAAATACCCTAATCCTGTATTATCCTTTGACCTCAAATATGGAAATAGTTGATATAATTGTCTTTAATTTTTTTATCGATTATATAAATCAGTTATAAAAGTTGTTATTGCGGGTTAATAAAAAGACACAATTTAGTTTTGATCATTTTAAATACATTATTTTTTAATTATTAAACACAGAGTGCCAGTTTGCTATATTTGGGCTATGTTCTTAACATTTTTTGAGCACATTCTCTGTTATGAACGCTCTCAGTTATGTACAGATTTCACATGCAATAGGCCATACATAACTCAGGAATTTTACAGTAATGTTAATACACTAAATTACCTTAAAGTGAAAAAGCCATCCAGCACAATATCGTTACGTGAAAATATGTACTCATTATCGGCAAACTCTTTAGGCATGGCATCGCTTAGGACCTTTTTTAATGCAAACTGACCAAGGGACCCGGTGTACTGATACGCGTGTGCCATGTGCACATTTACGATTAATAGTAGCCTCAACGTGTCCAGTACAGCGAACTTGGTACTTTTCTCAAACAAGTAGCTAGTATTTCGTATAACCGAGAAACTTGTTAACAATAAGTCATTTCGGTTTAGGCTATCGTATTGATGGTCACGTAATAACAGGAACTCATAGCTCGTACTGAAGATTATTATTGATGTTAATAATAGGAATATTGCTCTAGGTAAAAATTATTAATTAAGAAATTAGCGGGAGGTATATTTTAGGTTATTGTGACAGGCTCACATGGCAAATTTTTGGTACTCGTCCAGAGGTTTGTACTGATCGTTTACCTGGCATTCCGGGCCCACCTCTAGTGGTATGCGAGTGATGGGGAAAAATACTGTAGTAATTACATGAATGAATTAGCTTGTTAAATTTGATGAATATTTAGTAAAATTGGTAATTTAAAAAAATAGCTACAATTTTGATGATTGTTTTGATATATTAATCAAAAATTAAATAAATTAGATCATTTCTATTCCCAATAGAAATAAATTCTATTTTATTTTATTTGTTAAAATTATTAAACAATTATTAAATTACAGTTTGCATAGATGGGCTGTGTGTGTGTGTGTGTATGTGAGATAGCAAAACTACATTTAAAATGCTGATTTTCAAAATATCCATAAATTTGAACATAAAAATATTTTAAACTATTACTAATAATAAGTTATAAAATATTTATTCCAGTTTTTTTTGCACAAAAAAATTATACTGAATAAAACTGCAAGCAAACATTATTACTTATATAGTATACAGTATAAATACACAAATACATAATTAAAAATAAAAACATGTCTAAAAACAATAATAAACTTACATTTATTCAGTAACCTTTCAAACTCCTGGGCACTACACACGGACGGTATGCATATACCGTTCCGCCATAGGGTGCCATTAGCCATATTGAGAGTCTCTATGAAACCACGTAGGGTGGCCAGTTGTGTCAAGCCATAATGATCTAGCAACTTTGTAAACCCCGGCAAGGTTTGATACTTTGAATCCGTATAATATGTTGGGTCAGTATTATTTGCGGGATTCATTGGTGGGAACGGCATGATAACTTTTAGCATACAATATTGGCCCTTGATCGGACTGAGCCAGGGTGTTTTTGGGGACTCAATGTTTAGACATTCGGTATAATCACCAAAATTTGCTTCAACCCCCTCTAGAAAGCCTGCATCCAGTGGTCGACCGGTTGCGTCTAAAACTGTAATTTTAAATATAAAATAATAGCTTGGTCAAAATTTTAAAAGTTATTTATGACGAAATATTTATCATTTATCATAGGATATAATTAATTGTTAAAAATTACCATGTGCCCATGTGATCCAAATACTTTATAATTTAAACTATTAGCTACTTTATAATTTTATATTTACACGAATTACAGTTTTTAAAATATTTTAATTTTTAACTATAAACTGTAATACTAATTGATAATTTTAGTTATAAAGTTACCTACCGGTACTGGTACAATTTAGTTGTAAGTTTATTATATAATAATAATAATGTTACGTATTGTTTATTATACCAGTGCCTTAAAACTGACATGCTAATTTAAATTTGTCTTAATTTTTTTACCGTATTAACTTATACTATTAGTATTAAATGTGAATGTCTACTAATAAACGAGCTAGTAGTCTTTATTTATTTTGTGTTTTGTAATAAACAATAATTGTTATTATTGAAAAGTATACCAAGGTAGCTTTTATAAACCTTTTTGTTTACAATAACTCACATTTTAGAGCCCATATCTCGCGGGCACTCAAAGCCAAGACAATCCGGAACAACGCGATCAGACATTTCGACTTGAATCCCAGTCCCAGGGCTACGGTAATGGCGCTAAAAAATTCAATGGCCCTATATTTGATCCGGATATCATCGGACGGTATCAATAGGTATTCAGCGCTATGGCGTAGATTTTCGTATATGTCGATTGTGTCATTAATGTGATTAACATGCTTGTTTATTGGTATATTTTTGCCCTTGTCGTATAGCACATTCCATTTGTCCAGGAACGTTTGGTCCACATTATGTGGATTGTGAATTTTATGACCATGGTTAGATGGGTGCATGGTAAATAGTTTTAGTAGTTTCTCGAAACTTGATATTGTTGAATTGAATAGGTCAGTGGTGTTTGTATTTTTATTATGGTCAGATGTAGGAACATGCACATTTTTGTCATTTTTATTAGTGTTATTTGGGCATATAAGTGGTAATATTAGTATAAATATGTTGAGACACTTGATATATAATTTGAGCATGATAGCAGCAAGTATATTTATTATAGATTAAATAAAACAATGCACAATTAATAATTAAAATAATTCACAAGTAAATATAATTTAAAATAAAATAATTATTTTACTTTTGTCTAAAATAAATAATAAACTAATTTGATTATGATATCATATTAAAATATTTTAATAATTAAAGTAAATTAATTAAAATAATAGTTTTAAAATTTATATTGAAAAACACTAGCTGTAAATTGAAATTAAATTATATTTTAAAAATCATACAATTATCATGTAACTAAAATTGTATGCCCAGGTACTAACTGTAGTAAAAGCGTGCAAACCATATGTTATGTTTTAGTTTTAATTAAAAATAATTATTTCTATAATTAAAAGTAAAAAATAATAATTAAAATTTTATTATGCAACCGCGCGTAATTTAATTTTATTAAATATTTAATTCATCATTAATTATAAGTATTTTAGGATTTTATTTAAAATTATTTTTATTTAAGTATTTCAAATAAATTATAATATAATCGACTAAAACACTATAATATAAAATAAGTTAATAAAACTTTTAGATATAAAAATAATCATAAATTCATAGACATACCCGTATATTACAATCAATTGAAATCTATGAATAAATTACAAAAGCAAACTGTATTAAAAATTATTTTCAATACAAACATTATTTATAAATATAAAACATGTTTATATTTGCAAATAAATTTAATAGTATTTTTATTGTTTTTATTTTGAAAAGTATTAACAATGGTATTTATGGTCAAATATTTGATGATGATCCGGATATTTTTCGGCAAACTGTAAGCTAATAATATAATGTTTATTATTATTATTATTTATTTATAAGGTCACAATTAAGCTTTTAAAATATAATTGTAGAGTTTAAAATATATTTTAACATATTTAAAAAATACCGTAGCTAGCTAAAATTTAAAAATCATCACAATTGTTAATTAATATATACATGGTCATTATTCAAGCCACAACTGATCGAGTCACGTGGTTTCCAATCAGAAACACATACCGTGACTACGGGTGATGGATATATACTACAGGTGTTCCGTATGGTGAACCCACAGCTGCCTAACAGTGGTCGACAGTTAAGACACCGGCCGGTCATCCTATGGCACGGAGTGGCCGTCACGTCCGACTCGTGGCTATTCTCGACAGAGGGCTCTATAGACAGTAGAGGTGTTTACAACGAAAATAACGACGTGTTCAACGACTGCGAGCGTACGGTGACGTCGACACTGGCCTACACACTGTCGGCCTGTGGCTACGATGTATGGTTGGCCAACACCAGGGGCACTCACTATAGTCAGGGTCACGTGAGTTATAATGCAAATTTTGGTGGGTTAGAATTTTTATTAATTTATTAATTTTTAATATTTAAATAAAATTTAGTTCGACAAATACCTAATTAAATATTTAATTTTACACTAATAGATGCAAGGTACTGGCAATTTACGCTGACTGAGATGGCAATTTACGATATACCCGCGGTCGTGCGACATGTTATGCAAATTACAAATTCAGGTTTTTATGTATAAAAATTAGTTTATAAAAATTTTGACAAACTTAAACATTACACAGTAATATAAAATAAGCAATATTATACCAGTTTGTGGTGTATGAGTTTAAAAATTATTTTCATACAAACTGTAACTAGTTAATGAAATTATTACTTTGGTTAATATAATGTTTAAAAATTATATTTATATTGGCTATGTTCGAGACTTTTTAAAACATAATACAAGTAGCAAAATGTGTTTAATTAATTTTTAATTTTTTTAGATTCAGTTTCATATATCGGGCATTCGTTAGGAACGGCACAAATGTTTGTCTTACTATCACTGGTACCTGATTTTGAGCGCTTTATTAGGCCATACATAGCGCTGGCACCTATAGCCTACCTGGGTAACATCGAGAGCATCGGTCGATTAGGCGTACCATTGGAGCCAATATTAAAGTAGGGGAGATTATTTATATTTATAATTTATAATTTATATATATTACTAGGACATTCCCGGGCCCCCTGGGCATACCGGTGCCCATCGCGCAGTTAATCGGTATATTTGTTTGTGGAAATGAATTGCTGGTTGACTTGTGTGCAGATGTTTTCTACGCCATCAATGGCTATGATGCGCAAAATTTTAACAGGGTAATATTTTGTTATCACCATATTTATGAACATTAATAAATAATTAGATTAAATATTGTAATAAAATTTAGTCAATAGTACCCATAGATGCCGCCCATTCAGGTGCGTCAGTATCAACCTGGGTGTACGGTCACCTAGCTCAATTGGTGGTCAATAAATGTTTCCGGCGTTTTGACTATGGTATCCGAGAAAACATACGTAGGTATGGCCAGTCACAGCCGCCCAGTTACCCCTTATGCAACATAACCTCCAAAAATATTGCACTGTTTCGGGGTTTAAATGATTTGTTGGCCGATACTATGGATGTGAGTCTACTGGTGCAGGATTTAACGGGTATGTCCTAGTTAAATTTGTAATTTAGTTTTATATTTAAGTTGATTATTTTTGTTACTAGTGCCGCTATTAGATAATTATATTGTCCCGGATCCAAAGTGGAATCACCAGGACTTCCAGTTGGGTGTCAATCAAGGGTTTTATGTCAACCGAAGAATATTAGAAATATTGCGTCAATTTGATTGAGTTTTATGATTAAAATTTAATAAACATTTTAAAGTTTAGTTAATTTATTGAAAATATGATTTTTTGAAATGTATATTTCATTTATGAATATTATATTTAACGACTTGTTTACCTCTATACTGTATTTTATAGTTAAACAAATGTAAACATAGCATGAATAATATAAAATTATATGCCCACAGTAACAAGTGACATTGATAAAAAAAATTAAGATTCATTGTTTTTCACCTGTAATATGTTGTAACAATTGGGTAAAATATTTTTAAAAATGAATTTGTTAATATAATAGTCATATATGTAGGATAAATATAATTAACACTATTATTATACTAATATTTAGCTTAGCATTATATTGTACAATGGATAACATGTGGTTACTGTATGGCGTATTAATATTTATTGCCACTTATATTTATTTGTATGTTAAATTAAATTATGCTTTTATTAATTAAGAATATATTTATTAATAATATATTATATATATATATAAATTAACTCGTACACTTAAGAATACACTTTTTTACAAAATACTAACCTTATTAAATAAATAAATTTTATTATCACTGATTAATCTATAACCCGATAACAGGTACATATCGCGCGGTTTTAACTACTGGAGCAAACAGGGTATACCGGGGCCCACACCACTGCCTATTGTAGGCAATTATTTTAACTCGTTTTTCATGGCACACCACAATAGGGAAGT